GATTTCTATAGGATTTCCTCCTGATTTCTATAGGATTTCCTCCTGATTTCTATAGGATTTCCTCCTGATTTCTATAGGATTTCCTCCTGATTTCTATAGGATTTCCTCCTGATTTCTAAAGATTTCTCAAGGATTTCATCGGGATTTCTGAAGATCTCCTAAGGATTTCATCAAGATTTATAAATATTTCTCAAGGATTTCATCCGGATTATTCAGGATTTCTCGAGGATTTTATCAGGATTTATAAAGATTTTTCAACGATTTCATCGAGATTTCTCAAGATTTCCGAAGGATTTCATCCAGATTTCTGAAGAGTTCCCAAGGATTTCATCGAGATTTCTCAAGGTTTCATCAAGAATTCTACAGATTTTCTAAAGATTTCATCAAGATTTCTAGTTATTTCACAAAGATTTCATCAACATTCCTAGCTATTTCTCAAAAATTTCATCAACATTTCTAAAGATTTCCCAAAATTTTTCTCAATAGTTCCAAACATTTTCCAAGGATTCAATCCAAATTTCTAAAGATTCCACCAGGATGTCATCAAGAGTTCAAAGGATTTCCACTGTTTCAACTGGATTATTCCTGGAATCCAACAATGTAAATACTACGATCCTTCTTAAAATCGCACAATGCTTGTACTACGCTCGTTCTAATATATAGAACTTAATTAACCAAAATTGCAGAATTCACTTAATATATGAAAGTAGAGACTTCCTTATATAGATCTATAACTGTAAAACAAAACGGTGAATGAAATCTGGACAAAATCTGATTTCCAGATTTTGGATTTCGGATTTTGTTTTTCAAAATTTCTAAAAATAGAAATATCTAATTAATTAATTAGCTGATTCATCCGTCAGAATATATTCTAATTCATCAATCCGATTACGTGGAAAATATTACTGTATAAGGAATATTTTTAATCTGAAATAAAATTAATCTGAGCAACACTTTGGAAATTCAGTCTCAATAGTAAAATAGAGACTTCCTTATATAGGTCGATATCTGTAAAACAAAACGGTGAATGAAATCTGGACAAAATCTGATTTCCAGATTTTGGATTTCGGATTTTGTTTTTCAAAATTTCTAAAAATAGAAATATCTAATTAATTAATTAGCTGATTCATCCGTCAGAATATATTCTAATTCATCAATCCGATTACCTGGAAAATATTACTGTATAAAGAAAACAAATTATCTGAAATAAAATTAATCTGAGCAACACTTTGGAAATTCAGTCAAAATATTAAAATACAGACTTCCTTATATAGATCGATATCTGTAAAACAAAACGGTGAATGAAATCTGGACAAAATCTGATTTCCAGATTTTGGATTTCGGATTTTGTTTTTCAAAATTTCTAAAAATAGAAATATCTAATTAATTAATTAGCTGATTCATCCGTCAGAATATATTCTAATTCATCAATCCGATTACCTGGAAAATATTACTGTATAAGGAAAACGAATGATTTAAGACAGGATGAGCCTTAGGAGCATATTAGAAATTTAGTTGAAATATTAATGAAAACGCTTTTTTAAGAGATATGTGTTTGTAACACTGAACGGTAAAAGTTTATTGGACGATCATTCAAAGTATAGATTTCGTCGCTATTCGATGTTTTTTCAAGGAACATAAGAAAATCTTGAATGACAATGGAAAAGAAGAGAGCAAATTTCCAAAATTGTTTGAATCGGTTTCGGTTTTTTTTACAGTGGACTATTTTCAATATATGCTTGTATTATGAAAGTATGAAGCTCTTTCGATTTGAGATTGCACATTCTCAGGAGTCTGGATACTTGAAGAAATTCGTAGAAATCAGAATTTACTACTGCGCTTGATGAATGAAGTTCGTAAGATATAGCCATCTATTGCCTTTTATGTATATATGTGACAAGTTTCAAATTGATGAATTTCTTTGAAATTAATATTAAATGGATTTCATTGCTATTTAAATATGACGAGCGATTTTTGTGATTATTAATGACAAACCTCCATTCAATCGCGTGAACAATAACTAGTGAGTCGTTCAATATAAAGTAGTATGCTGTGATACAAATACACTTTCGAATTTTCTCTATCAGTTGTTTATTTTTTAGATTGACTCATTTAATTTTTTTCTGTAATGGGTCGAAAAAAAAACTCCATGAAAGATTTAAATGTAGAAAAAGAAAATGATATTCCATATCTTCAATATACAAATAGCACAACTGATGCTACAACTAGTATAGTTTCACTTATTTTCTATTGAAATATAATTCTTTAATGAATTTAGATTGTTCAGTTGCTGTTGGTCTAAAACGACCAATTGAATTAGTTGATTCACATCCGATTGATAACAAAGAAATTGAAATAATTAATTTAAAAAAGCAATGTATTGATCTTCAACAGCGTGTTGAAATATTGGAAAAAACATGTTTATGTAAGTTTATAAGTTTTGATTCTTTTCGCATTTTTCGTTTTTTTTTTACTTAGTGATACCGGAACATATGAATAGTATTGAAAATTTTTTTCATGATATTATAGAAGGCTCGAAGAATAATAATGATGGCATCATGTTAAATAATATTGATTGTGTTACTGTCAATAATGACGATGTTTTCACAATATATGATAATATTATTCCGGTAAATAATGATGGTACTGTTACAGTAAATTATCATGATGATATTGCTACAGCAAATAATAATGATGGCAAAACAGCATCTGCTGTTACGATATTAAATATTGATGATGCAACATTAGGCTCATTAAAAAAGGAAAATACAACATCAACAGCTCGCTCCATACTCAAATATCTTTATCCAAATCCTGAATTGAATTTCAAATTATCTAGTATGGACAAAACACTTGTTGATGCAATCATTAGTAAATACAATTTTTTCATTTTCATTATTTATTTGTTTTTGTTTCATAGGTTGTACACAAAAAGCACATCCTAGTGAATTAACTACAACGGCAAAAATAAGACATGCTATGTCTAATTATTTTGGTTTACTTAATTACAAGAAGAAAATAAAATCAACTATTTCAAACAAAAGAGTTGAAAAAGGCAATTGAACGTTTGTAAAGACGGATAGAAAGTCTCCTCTTAATGTTTTGAAATATGAAATTATTTTTTTTTTGTTTTATATTTTAATCTTAGTATAACTTATTGTTTTTCATATTGAAATTTCTACGTAGAAGAATAATTACAAGGTAGATTATTCTTCTAACTACCTCTTATGTTCATTATGTTATTATTACATGGATCTTTTCTTTTTCTTTTTTTTTATCGATGATTATACTTAAATACTTTTCATTCGAATTTGTCATTTGGTCTTTTTTAAACATATTACACAAGATTTATTGAGATGATTTTTACACCCCGAAATAATCGTTTTATGAACAAAACATCAAAAGTTTGGAAATAAAACTTCTAAAATTAATTCAAGGTTTTGATTTTCACCATTTTACTGTTTCATCTATAGCTAAAATAATCTTATCTTATATATATTCTTCATCCCTTTCTTTTATTTAATATAACTAAATACCAATTAGAAATGCAATCTTCAAGAATAAGACATAATGAAAAATGTGATAAAGACTTAATATATTGAAATAAATTCAACTATTGATCTTGTATCAATCTATTTACTAATTGGCTTTATTCTTACCTTGACCGCTATTAAAAACATAAAGTTCATTTGAAACAAAATAGAAGACATAATCAACAAAGGAGTAAAAATGAGAGCGTGAAAGAATGCATTGATAATAATGATAAATCTTAAACGAATATTTTATTTTCAATAAAACGGATACCTATGGCTGTGTTGATTATTGTTTTATAAGGAACAAAACGACGTTATCTCATAATCATTTCGGCGCTGATTTTTTTATTATCGTGTTGTGTATTATTTAATAGTTAGAATTAAAAAAGAGTTAATTTACCAAAAAAAAAATGATTTTTTATGTACAATAATGAAGAAAGTAAATCATCAAAAAATCAATCCAATTTCTCGTGGTAGGCAATCGAAGGAGTTTGTTTATTTAGTTAAAGCAATTTGTATATGATATTAAAAAGAAAAAAATAAAAAAATGATAAAAAAGAAAAGTTCTTTTCGACATATTTGAGCAATGCTTACATTAAAACAAGCAAACCTTCTTCATTATTTAAAATTAAACTTTTGAAGAAGATCAACATTAGCTCAATGTTTATCAAATAAAACAAAATTATAATCGTTCTATATTTTGATTGTGTTGTTGATTATTAATGGACTGTTCTTTTAGAACTTTTGCTTGTCGTTTTCGTTCATCTATCAAGAAGTCACACATCCTTGGACGAATCAACTTTGCATAGCAAGTGTCGTAGTGTAATATAGATATTCTATATTTAACTCGAACAGCTTCTAAAGAAAATAAAATATTTTTTACAATTAAGAATTCAGACTAATACTTTTGTAGTTTGGAAAAGAGGTGCAAAAATCATAGTACAGTGAAAAACACAATAAAATACTATTTCAACTCTAGTTAAATATTTGAGCAAATGAAATTAGCTTGAAACAAACTGTTATGTGTATTTATTGATTCGATTCAAAAATTGATCTTACATCCAGTTAAAGCTACGTACCATGAAATAGATTGAAACGTTCGACATCTAAAGCCGGTCGTGCTAAATGACTTCTAGCCGGTGGTAAAATAGAGGTACTTAATTCTTTCCGTGTAAATAAAATTTTCAACGTTTGTCTTGCGAAATCATATATATCTCTGCCACGAATCTCTAAAAGATCTTTACCTTCATATATCTGAAAAAGCCAGGTTCAGCAATCAATAAATAAACAAACATTAAATAATGCTTACAACTTGTGAAGGAAAGATCTCGTCTTTCTCTCGATATGAGTCTAAATTTTGATAAACCTAAAGTTTAAAAAAAAGAATATTGAATCCAAGAATTACATGATTATGTATCACTTACTGCCTGTGGAATTACTTGATTTAATTTTTTCGTGAAAATATAGAACTTTTTCTCAAGTTTTTCTAAAATTGTATGATGCATATCATCAATTGTTTGATAAACTACCCGAGCTGAAAATATATATAACGATTATATTAAGATAATATTAAAAATGAATTCATTTCTGCAATACAAGTAGTTTTTGAAAAATCTATTGTATTCAATAAAGTCAAATGATTTTAAATAAACTATTTAATAGAATTAACTATTACATGATTGTAGATCATTTTGATTAACAAATTAATAGGAACAGTAACACATACCTTCTACAGTTTCATTTTCATTAGTATTTTCATTTATTAAAACATCATCTAAAAAGCAATATGATTACAATACAAGCAAATACAATTAAATGAAAAAGTTACTTTGCATTGTCGAAAAATTATTAGAAAAACGACGACATCCTAAAAAAAATAGGTCGTATTCATAATTTCTCATTTAAGATCATGATGGCGCTGCTCACTTTTATTTGTCGACACATCTTTTTGTGTTATGGCAGTATTGTAATTGATGTCTTCTACAATAGAATTGAAATAATATTCTTTACAAATTTATTTCTTATTTGCAGTACGTATATAACTGTCCTATCAGTTTAACCTTTATGTTCTACTCAAAAGAAATTATTGTATAGTATGAATTTGCTGTTAAGGGAAAAAATTCTTTCAATATGTTTACCATCGTCATTTTCAACTATCCATGGAGACAATTTTCTTTTTTTCGTTGACAATGATTGTTCTGTACAAAAGAAAGAAAAAAATATCTATACTACTTGTTTATGAGAAAATAATAAGCATACTTGGTATTTCATTTTGATCATTATCATCACTTATTGTATCATTATCTTCAAAATCATTTATTTCATCTAAACCATCTAACCGGAACATTAGATTATCACAGAAAAAGAAATCACAATGCCTGTGATATGATCAAGCAGAATGCTATGGAAAAGTATTACCTTCTTGATCACTAATAGTGTTCTCCTGTAATTTCATTTGTTCATACATATTGTTACATTGACTATAAGTACCTATGATCAAAGCAGAAATCGTTTATTAATTTATTATGACTTTCAAAATAATAGAAAGCACGTATGTGACATATTGAAAAATCTAGTTTAAAAATTATGCGAATATTCTGTTTTAAAATAGAAATTTGATAGATTCATAACAGCTGGATGAAATTTAACATGCTATTGTTCGCACGATTCGATATTGTCATTGACTACTTTATAGAACAATATAATATATATCCTACCTTTAGCTTCGATTATTGCAAAGCGCTGTTTCTGACCTGTTCCAACAATTGCTTTATCTTCAATAATCGATCTAATACTTGAACGTTTAACCACAATTAATTCATCATTATCTTCAAAACGTAGCAAGTAATTTTCTTGACTATATAACTGTGGTTGTGTTGGTGAAAATCTTTTCGGCGGATTTTTTTTTCGTGAAGATCGAATCATTTTTGATGATAAAAAAAACAAATCTAAAAAAAATAATTTAAGTAAAAAAATAAAATGGAATCAATTTTTAATTAGAATTATCGGATACTTTATTTCAAATAATTCAATACATTATATAGAATAATTAATCCGTACTAATACCATATTATATTGACATAATATTATATTAATATACATTCAATTATTCGAATTTGAAAAAGAAAAAAAAATCTGAACAAAAACGTAGAATTTATTCTGTTCACATAAATGAAGCATGGTTCCTATAACGTAGTTCAATAAAAAAATAGCTCGAATTCCAACATTAGCAATTAAACTATTTTGATCATTACTTTCAGTGTTCTATTTTTCTAAATTTTCTGAGAATAATACACGTGCTAAAATTATTGCTTAATATGCATGGTCCAATAAACAAAAAATTGGTTGTCTAAAAACCTATTTTTTTATGTTTTAAAATAAATGAAATAAAAATACATAACAAAAAATGCTTTTAATCGTGTTCGTGGTATGCAGAAACTTCTGTTACAATTAATTGTTGTTGAAACTCAAATGTAATACAATGTTTTATAACATGATTAATATTAATAACATCAAATAAATCAGATGGTTCTTTCGACAATAGAATAAAACATTTATCTAATGGTTTTTCTAATAAAAAAAAATATGGTGATGTTCTAAATAAATAGCTGATATTTTGATTTTGTATATGACGTTGAACGATAGCATAATTTCTGTTGATACATGAAAAAAATAATATAATTCTTCCGAAATATTTAATGCAATCATTTGCTGATTTATTATACGATATAAAATAACTATTTGATTTTCCTCTTTTGTTATAAATTAATGAATGAAACATCCTATTATGTATAACACATCGTCGATAAATAGAGATACAAGTTAAAGGATTTAAACATGTACATATTTTATTATGATGTTGTATAATAATAGGATAATCATAAATAATAATATCAACATTGAGGTCTATTGGTTTTGAAATTGTTTTGTATTCTGTATGGGAAATTTGTGTGTGTAAATAAAAATCAATAGAATAATAATGTACTATAAGATCAGAATAATAATTCGAACCATGAATATTTTTACTTATATGACCTATTTGATCTTCTTGATGGAAACAACCAATATTCGCTAATGAACCATAATTTCGGTATTGTGTACCAAAATGACGATGTAAATGAAGTACATAATTTTGAATATTACTATAAAATATTCTATGATGTTTATAATATTGTTCAAATAGTTTATCAGCTATTGCTTGTGTTTTATCACCAAACATTGGAGGCTGTGAGTGATACAACCTAATTGAACAAATAAATAAAGCAAAATGAGCGAGTTGTTGAATATTAATAAACTCAAATGATAAAGGTAAAAATCCATAGAATAGAATATTTCGTAATTCTACTGCTTTTATAAAAGAAAATTTATTAAAAGGTTTCATTTGACGATTGAAGAAATGTGGAAATGATTGATATTTTAATTTATTATCAAATCGTTCACGATCTGATGGTTTAAGTTGTTTATAAATTGCCTTCAAAACAGTTTTTGTATGTCTCAATAAGCTTACATGCTGATAATCGATTAATATGGCATATGGTAATGATACATCAAGTATATCTTGTAGAATTGAAATTCCTACGATAAAAAAAAGTTTTGTATCATTTAAATAAAAAAGTTAAATCTCTTTTTTCAGAAAATTTTATTCAAATATTTTTAATATTTCTCAATTTTAGAGTCACTTAAAAGAAGCATTGTTATTCTAATTTAGTACGACAAAATCTACGGAAATAATTTCTCATTACATAGTAAATCTATAAATATTTTACATAAGAATCTATTTCTTTATTTAAACATCTTGAAAAACTTATAGAACATTTATGCACTATTAAAAAATATCGCAACGAATATATTAGAAAGAATGCTGTATCAATCATTCACCTTTATGTCCGTAAATATTTTCTTTTTTTGTTTTAGCTTGTTTTGATTGTTTGTAATATTTCTCGGTATGACGAAGAAATATTTTTTTTTCGTAATAGTATTGCCGTTTTTTTCCGATATTAATACCACGTGTATAACAGAAATTACAACAATAGTAACCACCGTGTCCAATAAAATTAAGTATTTTACTTAAAGCTGGTGAATCACCAGTGATTGATAGAAATTTAATATTAATACGATGATTTTCATTTATTATTATTCCTAAAACAAATAAAATAAAAATGTTATTCATTCTATCATATCGAAAATCATATTAATTGCATTATCCTAAATTTATTTGTACCTGTCAGATAATAAATTAATAATATAAACATTCACGAAGGTACTAACAAAGAAGCGGATGAGATTATAAAAAAAAACATGATT